GGTGTCAAAGGTGATGCCCTTGCCCACAAAGACAATGGGCTTCGTGTTTGGGGCATTGTTGTAGTGCATCTAAACCAAAACGATCTATTAGAGAAATGCTTCTATTGGTATTAACAGACTTACTTCCAGGAAAACCGGCGGTTCATCAGATCCTCGGGCCACGCTGAGAAAGGAGCCCATCTTCTGCGCCTCGGCCCAGGCTCTATCGCGAACATTCACCGTGACGCCGCTAACATTAGGGGAAAGAGAAAACATAAGAATGAAATGAAAGAAACAGTGAACATCGGTGTCATACAGTTTGCCCAACTTTTCGCTGGCAATCTTCGCAAAGTTCGTCGGCGTCATAATGTTGGCCGGGTTCTCCTCCAGCGATCGGCAGAGGTTCTGTCCGGCGGCCAGAGTGATGCCCTCGTTCCACTTCTGCTCAGCACTGGCGTCATCGCTGGCCAGCAGGTTAATCTTCACCAGTGGCTTCTTCAGCGGCGCCGACTTGAGCTCGTCAAAGTACCAGAGACCGAGGGAGGCGCCCTCCGCGGCGGCGGTGGCGTTATCACACGAGTCCACGTCAATCTCATCAATGGCGCCCAGGTCGCGCAGAGAGCGAACGCCCGAGGAAATTGCGCCGCGCACGTTTTCGCTCTTCTCGTCCAGCTCCTCCAGGTCGTTAAAGCCGGCGTTGTTCGGGCCGAGGCCGACCACCGCCACAACGGGCAGCTCCGGCGTCACGTCGTAGAAGATGCGCACTTTGCCCTTCTTCAGCGGGCCGATACTGAAGGGAGATAAAGGAATGATTAGCAAAGATGCTGAAGGGAGAAAGGCTGATAACTCACATGTTGATGTTCTTCTCAATCGTTCCATTGCTGGCGCTGTTGACCTTGGCAGCGGTCGGCGTAAAGATGAACGCCTCCTTGTTGTCGGCATTCTCAAAGACGCCCAACAATTGGGCCTTCTTCTTTTGCTGTCAAATAAAAAGAAGTCAGGGTTAGAAAATCAGCCTTTCTTCATGTTTCAACAACAACTACCAAAGGTACTTACAACCATAGTAGAAAATCGAAGCTGCAAAGAGTAGCTGTAGCTGGTTGCCGGAGAAAGTAGCAGGGCTCGTCCGAAGCTGGGCTGCGAGTGGACGAAGGAAAAGTTGTTAGTGGTGGTAGGAGTACTGGAGAGCTGCTGCGTTCGAGCTAGTGTTGTTGCTAGGCGAGGAGGGTAGCAAAGAGGATGATGGAGGCGACGGTGAAGGAGAGGAGAAGGAGCAGCCGAAGAGGACCCGTTTGCCGCCGAGGAACAACTGACAGACGACAGTCGGAGAAGAGAAGAAGAAGCGGCTTTCCACTGCGAAGAAGGCAGTCGCCAGACTCGGTGCCAATGGGGGGTGAGCATTGGCAACAGCGGTGGTGGTGGTGGTGGGGAATCTGGTGTAATCTCACACACTGAAGACCAGTTCGGCGAGAAGCGAAAGAAAGAAGTGGCGAGTAGAAGAAGCGTGGAGCCGGTGGTGATGGCTCACACAGCACACGACAACAAGCGAGGTTCTTCTCTCTCTCTCGGGTGTTCGCTATCGATGGACGGTTGCTCCCTCTTCTTTTTCTCCTCCTCCTCCTCTTCTACAGTGGCAGTAAATATTGACTTCAGCAAAGCTGAAAAACAGTCAGATTGTGACTGCCTGAGAAGGTGACAAGTCCTGCAGTTCAGTCCGGACGATAGGATAAGGAATGGGCGACAGATAGGCGCTTTCAATGGCAACAGTTCATCAGTGTTTGCATTGCAAGCGGCAATCTGAAGAGCTTGTGACCGGCAAAGAGCGATTCGGGGCAATCTGCCATCAGGTCTCGACGACGACGACGATGTCAACAACGACAACAAAGAGCCCACTTGAAGCAACTGTCAAATCAAAGAAAGAGGTTCACTTACGAGAGAGTAGAGTAGGCGACAGATGGTCAGGGTTTCCAAAAGAGAAAACGATGCTGAGGATGAGGATGTTGTTCACGGGCCTCCTCGCTGCTGTGAACTGACAGAAAGAGCTGCGAATCGTCTTTTATCAAGCCAGTCATGCTCGTCCTCTACGAGGCCCCCCACAGGCGGCGCTCGCGCTCTCGTCTGTTGTCGGCAAATTCTTGTTTTGTCAACACCAAAAACTGATTCTTTTCGAATCGTGATTCCCATTCCTTCATGCCGAAAATCTATTGATCTTTTTCTAAATACTACCCTACTTCTATTGTTTTTCAATTTTTTCTCTACTTTTGACTACTGTGTACTTGATGCGATGAGCTCCATTGAGGAGCAAGGTAAGAAGATTTTGAATTTTGAGAATTGTATACAAGAGCGAAAAAGAGGTACTTATTGGTTTGTTTTTAGAAGCTCGGGCAGCTCAACCGATGCCAACCACACCTCTGCATCTATCCACTCATGAAGAAAAGGTTGACACCTGGTCAACTCGCGAGAAGCTAGTGCTGGCTCTCAGCGTCGCTACAAGAGGAGACCAGAATTGGTAATGATGAAACAAGGATATTCTAAAATGTCTTGATTGACTGTTATTGTTTTGTTGTCTTCTAAAACTACAGGACTGGATTCAGGCAAACGATTAAGCATTACGCTGAAAAGGATCGACCAGTGGATTTTTTCAGCAACAGATCATGTGCTACTCAGTATCGCAAAATGCTTGAGGAAATTGAAGCTCCCAAGTAAGTATTTGCATCTTTTACTTTTCTTTATGACAACTAAACTGACTTTCATTTTTAGGCGCCGAAGAGAAAAGAAGGAGGATAAAAAGGGCCGTAGCGCTGAAGAAGTTCCTCAAGAGCTGATTATTAAGAAGTGTAAGGATGAGCACTTGGCGGAGCTGGGAAATCGCATCAAAGCACAAATCACCGAATATTGCGAAAATCTAGCTATTATTGAAAAAATCAAAAGTGGCAACTACGATAAGAAGTGGTATGCTGAAATATGCAAACAAGTCAAGCGGGAGATTGAGCTGAAGAAGCAGAAGGAACAACAACAGCAAGCAGCTACAGCTCAACCGCCGCCTCCAACAACACCAGTCAAATCAGCGCTCAGTAGTGCAGAGACTGTGCAACCACCAGCAACGCCCACTGTGTCTGTGGCTCAAGCTGCCACTACTGGTGATAGTGTGGATGCTTCTCAATTGAATGATAAGACGGGCACTGCTTCGGTGGGCAAAGATGAAACCATTCCGACGCCAAAGGCGACCGTCGTTGAGCCAGTGACCTCACCGCGCATTACTCGCTCTCCCGAGAAGGCGATCACTAGCCCCAGTTCTTCTTTGCCTAAACTGAACTCACCACCAGCCGCTGTTTTGCCCAGGCTCAAGTCGCCAGTTAAGGCCAGCCAGGTGGTTGAAGATGTCAAAAGTGAACAATCGAAATTACCTCCAGTTCTTCAAGATGCTAAAGATAAGCTGGCAGACAAAACTGCGGTTGAAACTGCTTCAGGTGGAACCCTTAAAACGGACACTGATGAAGGAAAATCGGTTGCCACTACAACAACCTCTGCCGCTGCGACTTCGAAAGAAGTTGCCGTTGTTGAAAAGGCAAAGAAAGAGCCGCCAACTACAGAGGTCACTAAAAGCGCCATTCCTACGCCCCTCCAATCAAGGAACATCATTGCACTTGAACACGAGAATAGCAATGATACCATTGAAGAGATGGAGGTGGACAGTGTTCCGGTAAAGGCAGTTCTGAAAACTGAAAGCCAACTGAAAGAAACAACAAAGGCGGGAAGTAAGGCTATTGATCCAGTCAAACAGGAAACTCCCGCCGTCTCAAAGGATGTCACAGCAAAGGCGGCAGAAAAGGCGATTGTTGCTGAGACTGCTGCAACGCCGGTTGCCGCCGCTTCTTCAAAGACCGAAGAGGCGGCGCCGAAAGGTGTAAAACGAAAGGAGCCATCAACTGAAGGAGAGGAGCCAAAGCTGAAGGCAGCCGTCTCTACTCCAGCTGAAAGCACTGTCGTCAAGAAGGAAGAGGAAAGCTCAGTGGCAAATCCAATTCCAGCTAGTACCCTTGAAGGTTCTACTACAAAAACTACCGAGGAGTCCACCGAATCATCAACGCCGGCAACGCCAGCTGAGCCGCCGGCAAAGAGGAAATCGCGTAGCAGGGTCCCCAAGACGCCCAGCTCTATGAATACTCGCTCCACGCGATCTCAGACCCAAATAAAGGTGGAGCAGAAGGACGCCAGTAGTACGACGCCGGTGTCGGCAGGCAGGGGCGGCGGCGCAGAAAGAGCCAGCAGCAGAGGAGCATCCACCAGCTCAAAACGCAACCTGTCCAACAGCATCGACGACACCAGCCTGGACAATGTCTACAGTGAGGAGTCGAGTGATGTGGTGGGGACCGCCGCGGCAGCTGCTGCTGCTGCTGCAAACAGCACTGAGAACGACTCCACTGACACCAGTGACCCCGCCCCCATGCCGATTGACAACTTCTGGCGCAGAGCGGCCCTCAAGGTCATGACCACCATTCAGGCGAACAAGCACTCTGGCCTTTTCGCCACGGAGAAGAGCGAGGCCAGTATGAAGGTGCGGGACTATGGGACCCGCCTCATCGATCTGAACTCCATTAAGAAACGCATCAACGACGGGCATATTCGCGACTGGGTAGGCCTGGAGAACGCGGTCTGTGCCATGTACAACAATGTATACATGCTCCACCCGATAAACCACCCGATGTCCCGGGCTGCCCGGGCCATGGAGGAAATGGTCGTGAATCAGATTAAGCAAAGTGTGACTCAGCCGGCGCGTCGCCCTGGACGTCCCTCTGCCAGGCTGTCCACTCCGGCCCTTGCCACTCCGGAAGTTCAGGTACTATTTGATTGACGAGTTTTGACGTTTAAAACGGAAATTATTTATTTACTCGTTATATTTACAGGTCAAAGTCGACCGAAGAAAGACTCGCGGCTCGATATCAGTGGAAAAGCCCGCCGGCAGTAAAAAGCGCTAGTAAAAAGCGTTAGTAAAAGGGGAAAAGAAGGGGAGACCACACCATCATCATCGCTCAATCCTTCTTCGAATCGCACAACGCCATCAGCTGATTGATCTTCTCCTGCAGATTCCCTTGCATGCTCTTCAATCGTCGCTCCTGTGTGTGTGTTTGAGGAGGGAAGATGAGATTTCCATTTCGATTCATATTCATTCGCATATTCAAAAGAAAGAGACATAAAGATTTGCAAACATTGTCACATTGACCCAACTGACTTACGTTGATTTTGTCGTTCCTCACGCGGAGAACTTCGATCCATTCGCCGACCTTCAGTTCGTCCTGGGGCTTGCGCGCCTGGGCGAAGGGACACTCGGGTGAGTGGGCGTTGTGCTCCTCGAAGGGCTCCTCGTTCGCCTCCCACCCGCTGAGGGTGATGAAGCAGACGAAGCACTCGACGTCGTCGGGGGCGCTGCTGTTTAGGGTGCGGTAGAAGCCGGCCTGGGCCATCTGCAACAAAAGGAGGAGGAGGAGGTGAATGAGATGAAGAGGGCGAATCCACCCAATATAACACTTACCTTCTCTTTGGTGCACGCTCCGCGCTTATGTGGCCAGCCCTTGAGGGTGGCCAGACGTTTCAGCTCGTCGATCATCTCGGGATTGTAGCCCCTGTTGGAGTCGCTCATCCTTGCTGCTTTGGATGATGATGATGATGATGCTGTTTGCTGCTTCCTTTTTGCTCTGTGACGACGATGATGATTCTCTGTGCGTTTGCTTCAAGCGAAAAGTTGTTTTTCATTTCAAACCGTCACATTATTTTCACCCCACGTGTGGCAGCCCCTGACAGCGCCACCTGCGTCCACTGTTGAAATAGACAGCGGGCAAGAAATCAAAAATCTCTTTTCACTCTGTTGTTGTTGTTGTTATGTTATCGCCAAAGAAGAATAGAATTTGCCGGTAATTGCCTCTTATCCTTATCAATCCGTCCATTCGCCATGGCCATCCACAGCGTCTGGCTGGACACCATCCTCAAACCGGAGGAGCTCGACCAGAAGTTCATCGAGAGCACCAGCGAGAGTGAACTCTTCGACCTGCTCGTCCACCTCATCAACAACGGCATCAGTCTGCTGTCGGCGCCCAAAACTGCTGCTGCTGCCGGAGGGCCCGATCCAGATGACGCCATACGAAAGTCGGTGGAGGGCAAAAAGTTCAACACCATTCGGTACGCCGTTTTCAAGGTGCTCTCGCACTTTGGCTGGGACCTCCACAAGATCATCCACACGCTGCCCTGCGTCCACCAGGAGTTCGCCTTCACCGAATTCAACCGCTTCTGCGAGCAGGAGGAGGTGCCCACCGACTGGAAGAACTTTGCCGTCATCACCTACCACCGGTGGGTGCTGTGCTTCATCCTGAAGAGCATCTACCCGACGAAGCCGGCCAAGATCGGCATGATCTCCGCCAACCAGCAGCTACTTGATCCCTACTACATCGCCCCGGAGACCAAGGAGAGCCTGGCGAAGAAGCTGCAGAGCACCTGTCACATTTCACTGGCCGACCTGGAGAACATTCTCACCGAGTCCGAGCCCAGCAAGGACTCCTTTCCCATCAGCCGGCCGCAGGCAGACTGCTTTGAGCTGGAGCGCACCACCAAGAAGATCCTCCTCCACTTTGACCAGTCAACTCGGCTGAACAAGGTCGCCTTCTTCGATGACGTCCACTACGAGCTGGGCCGGTGGTCGTTCATTCACGAGGACTACGCCAAGGCGAGCCACTGGTTTCGGAAGATCAGCACGACGAGCAGCTCGTACAAACACCTAGAGGGCTACCGGATGGCCGCCGAGGCGATGAACAGCCCGAACTACCGCGTCGTAGAGCCGAAGGAGGACAACAGTCTGGAGCGGCGCATCACCCGATACCTGCAGACAATCATCAAGGAGGGCGGCAACGTCTACGAGCTGGAGCCGCTGAAGGCGAGCGAGCTGAAGAAGGTGCTGTCGATAATGCGCAAGTTCCACGCCGACATTGGCGCCGGAGGTGATAGGAGTGAGGAGGAGCAGGCGCTGTACAGCCGCCTCACCAAGTACCTCATCTTCAAGCTGAACGGCCTCTACGAGGCACTTGACTCGGCCGGAAAGGCCTTCTTCCTCAGCAGCATGGACGGAGCTACGAGAGGTGGAGGCGGCGGCGGCGGCAGCAACAACAGTGGAAACAAAGAAAATGCAGCAAAAAATGGAGTTGCTGGTGGCGGCGGTGGGAGCAGCGACGGCGAGGAGATGGAGGACGTCATTGAGGAGGGCGAAATCGACGCCGACGAGGAGCAGCTGACCACCGACGATGACGCCGAGCTGATGCTGCTGGAGGCGATTGAGCCCTATCAGATTCAGTCGCTGGTCACCTCGGTGGCAGCCACCCTGCTGCGCACCAGCAAGTCACCCCTGAGCATCAACAACCGCTGGACGCTGCCCGACGACCAGACCGCCCTCCTCTCGACGCTCACTTCGCCGGACATTAAACTGAAGTGTCACATGATCCTCGCGAAGGCAAAGGAGCTGCGCAGGGCGAACTACTTCAGCGAGTCGCGGACGCTCTACGTCGCCCTCATCGAGGACATTCAGGCGCTCAACCAGACGCTGGCGGACATCATTCGCTACGAGCTGCTGCACACCGACCTGGAGATCTTCTTCCAGTCGAGTGACGTCGACGAGCGGATGATGCCCGAGATGGAGAAGAAGTGCCTGACGCTGCTGATGGACAGCCGGGCGCTGGCCTGCTACCGGGAGACCTTTGAGCTCGCCTGCGTCTTCCTCCTCAACCACTGTCCGGGCTCACTGAAGGAGTACGCCTCCGCCTCGGGCAGCGACCTGGTGCGCTTCTGCGCCAGCCTCGCCAGTCTGGTCGTCGACGCGCCGCCCACCTCGTCGCAGCCACCCACCTCGCAGACCCGAGAGAGGGCAAAGGAGTTCTGGGAGCTGCTGCTGCTCTCCTACAACCACAGGGACGGCGGCGGCAAACAGCAGCAGCAGCAGCAGTCGCAGCAGCAGCAGTACAGCAACAGCCCACTTCCCTTCGGCCAGCAGCGCAGCAGCACCTCCGGCTTCTCCGGCTTCACCGGCGCCGGCCTGGAGGGCTTCATCGGTCGCTTCACCCGGCCGCGGGTGATCAGCCTGGTGGCGACGGCCATCGCCAAGGTGTACAACAACGTCAAGGACAACACCTCGCCGAAGATTGCCCTGAGCGGCAGCGGCTGCGACCTCTTCCCCGGCTCCATTCCCTCGGCGGTGCTGGCCACGCTGGACCTCGCCTCGGTGCGGCTGGTGCTGGAGCGGACGCTGCGCCGGTACATCGACGCCGTGCCGGGCGACCTGACGCTGCTGCGCTACCTGGGCGACTACCTCCTCGCGGAGGAGCTGTACAGCGCGGCGATGCGCTACTTTGTGCGCGTCGTCATGATCGAGACGAAGTACTTTGCCGACTTTCAGTTCCTCGAGGCGGACGAGCTGATCGTCCACCAGATGATCGTCTGCAGCACCAAGAGCGACTGCCACGTGCAGGCGGCCGTCCTCTACCAGCTGCACGCCAGTCCCGACTACGGACTGGCCTTCAAGGAACTGAACCAGGCGCTCTCCGTCGACTCCGCCGACGACCTCTACGACTGCATCTGGGACGTGACGCTGCTGGAGTACCTCATCAACCACCACCACCGGCGGAATGACATGGAGCGCAAGCTGAAGGTGACGCGGCTCATCTCCCAGCTCGACCTGAATGTGAACAACGGCGAGAAGATTCAGCGCGAGGCGGCCAACCTGCGCAAGAATAAGCTCTTTCGGATGCTCGCCAAGCAGTACATGTGAGAGCTGACATTGGTGTTTGTGCAAACAAAAGTCTGTGCTGAATCATTCAATTAAAAATTCTAACAGCCCAAAAAATTTTCGAAAAATATTTATTCAGCTACAAAAAGGCTTTGCATGTTTTCATTTACCTTTCTTTCACTACTGATTTCCAAAATGAACTTCAATTATCTCATTGCACTGCTTACTACTAGTACGGTTTTACTGAGCATCCAGGCTAAGGTTTCGATTGAGGTAGGTTTTATTCTTGTGAGAATTTCGCTTTCACTTACACCTTTTGCCTAGAAAATTGTTAAAGACTTGAAAACGCGCAAACGCTACATCTTTGCCATTGGATTTGTGTCCTCGAAGTATCTGCTCTTTGTGAGTGGATCCAAAGACAGGATTGACTTCAGCAATGGCTACCAAATGGAGTTCAAGGATGAGCCTGTTAAGGGGAGGATAAAAAACGTGGAGAATATAGTGCCCTTGTCCAAGTACAGTGGCGTGGAAGATACTGACGTCATGTTTGTGTACAGTGACCCAAGTGGCAGCTTTCTGGTTACAATGAGCATAAGCAGCGTAAAGGTTCTTGACTTAAGTTCAAGTGTTTTCAAGGAGACTGAAATAGAACCGATGCTTAGTCAACTATGTTATTATAATGGATACCTCCATCTGTCTTTTAAACAAAACCCCTTCTTCTACACATTAGGATTTAAATGGGAGGAATCAGGAAATCTTTTAAAGTTCAATTTTGACAATAATAACAGTGCTGTATCAGCAAAGTTTTGTCAGCAAGAATTTTTGGGCAACTTGTGCGTTATTGAAGACGATCAGATAACTGCTGATCAATCCTGTA